TATTTACCCCATTATAGCAGGCACAGACCCATCAGGCTTAGTGTCGTCAAGAGTGAGACCAATAGGTGCTTCCTCCTCTTCGATCACCATGCTGCCACAGTATCCTGAAAAAAGAAAACAGCCCAGGTTAGCATACAGACTGTGTAGTCAGTGTTCTTTTAGTATTATTTACATAGTTTTTAATAATATTTTGAATTAGCTTTTATTTTTATATGTTCAGTTTTCATTTTCATTTAGTTTAGATTTTAATCATTTTGTTATGTGCTTTTGTCCTTTTTTTAAAAATATTTAAATGTATTTATTTATTTCAGCTTTAGTTTTAGTCATTTTTGTACTTCAACCTATTTTATTTTAGTTGGTTGCCAATGCAACATTTCTAATTTTCATTTAAGTTTCAGTTTTTCATAATATTTCTATTTCATTTCAGCTTTATTTCAAATAACAAAACCAATTTTTAATCGTTTTAGTTAACAATAACAACACTGTATGCATTCAATGCCACTTCAGTCCCAAGATTCGTTTGTAACTGGCTTTCATGTGATTTATGTAATAGAAAGTGGACAAGAAGTACAGACCCTTCTTCCTCCAGAAGTTCTCTTTGTAGTACACCATGCATTTGATGACTGAGCCCATGGGGACTCTATGAATGAGCTGGTTCCTCAGAGGGGGCAGTTCAGGGTTGAAATGGATCTTCAAGTTCAGCCCTGGTGGTATGGCAAGTATAACATATTTGGCCTACAAGAACAGAGAAAAAGAAAATTCTTAAAAAAATAACTTTTTTTTTTCTTTCTTTTTTTTACAAATACATCATTTCAGATAGTTAAGTGTTAAAAGGACTGTTGTGTAGGAGGCATGGTCAAACCCCATAAAGCATCAGCACTGTGCCCATTAACAACATATTTAAAGCTGCTGTAAGAGATTTTTTTTGGAAATGCCGCACATTTAAAGGTTCCTTCTATCTGATGGATGTCTCTGTTACCTTGTATATAACCAAAAGAGTTTTACTATGCTTTAATGGATTTACAGTATCAAAACCTCTCAGAAATGTGGAACTTGTATAAATTGCAACAATTTTGCCATCACAGGAATACATTTCATGTTAAAATATATTAATACATGCAGCCTTGATCAGCATAAGAGATTTCTTAAAAATAATTATAATAATTTTACAGACCCCAAACTTTTGAACAGTAGTGTATATATGTAAGGAATATAGTGGTTCCAGTCGCCCCCACTGTTCCTCCCCAGAGGGTTAAACAGCTCTACAGCAGCCTTTAATAAGCTTTCAGCACAGGAAAGAGGATGTGACCAGGACAGAGGGATGAAGAGCGGCTTACTGATAACAATCCACCAAGCTTACACACATACATGGTGATACATACTTCAAAGTGGTACATTTTGTCCTTCAAATTAGCCGATTTAGTATGAAATGTAAAATACTGCTTACTCAGTGTTTATTAAACTCAAAAGCTAGCACACTACTATATTACCATTTATGCAGTATGCATATTGTGTGTATTATGCACATTTGTGTGCGTGCACAGAATATGGGGTATGATTTGCTACTTGGACTGGAATACTGTATACCACAATGCAATGTGCCTGACTTGACCTTCCATTTCTATCTGGCCAATGCGACAAAAAAATTTTTTAGCTCTTGATTTGATTGGAAACCCAAAGTTAAGACATTTTACACAACTTTAAATAAAAATCTAATATATACACTATACTGTTAAAACATTTGGGGTCTGTTAAGATTTTTTGTAAGAAGTCTCTTATGCATTTATTTGATCAAAAATACAGTAAATATTGTGAAATATATATATATATATATATATATGCTCAAAGTCTAATTTATTCCTGTGATGCAAAGCTGAAATTTCAGCAGCCATTAC